GAGGTGCGTGGAGACGCGTAAGCAGACCCGGGCGCGAGGGTGGCGGTCATCGCAGTGTGGGGAACCAATCCCGGATTTCGCCCCGGACGAAGGAAGGGGAGCGATCGCATCGTGGGTGATCCGAGACGGGCTGTGCGCTGACGGTGAGGTGCGCGGAGACAAGTAAGCAGACCCGTGGAGACAAGTGAGATCGCAGTGTGGGGGACCGGTTTCGGACTTCGCCCTGAGCGTGTGACTGGGAGCGATCGCATCGTGGGCAAAGAGGGGTGATAACGGAAAGTGGGAGAGGAGGATAACGAAAAGTGGGCGTGCGAGTGGGAGCGATCGCATCGTGGGCGATCCGAGTAGGATTGGGCGTTGACGGCGGTAAGGGGCGTGGAAAGGAGGGACCGAGGACATCCAGGAGAGCGAGAGCACGACAACGATGTGTGGGTGATCTATTTCGACCGATGCACTGCTCCTCATCACACCCTACCCCAACCCTTGCCTGTCAAACTTTTCCCGACCTCGCACTGCTCCTCATCCCACCCTACCCCAACCCTTGCCTGTCTAACTTTTCCCGACCTCATGACACAAAACCTTTACTACGAGACAACGCAAACAGAGTGGGTGTGGTCCAAAGGAGAGGAGTGATAACGAAAAGTAGGAGAGGGGTGATAACGAAAAGTGGGTAGACGCACGTGGCTCTTGCATTGAAGGTGAGGTGTGACGGTGGGGTGCGTGGAGACGAGTAAGCAGACCCGGGCGCGAGGGTGGCGGTCATCGCTGTGTGGGGAACTGATCCCGGATTTCGCCCCAGACGAGCGAGGGGGAGCGATCGCATCGGGGGTGATTCGAGACGGTTTGTGCGCAAGTGAGCAGACCCGGAAGTGTGGGGGGGAGTCATCGCAGTGTGGGGGACCGGTTCCGGACTTTGCCCTGAACGTGCGAATGGGAGCGATGGCATCGTGGGCGGAGAGGGGTGATAATGGAAAGTAGGTGAGGGGGATAACGATAAGTGGGTGTGCAAGTGGGAGCGATCGCATCGTGGGCGATCCGCGCAGGATGGTGCGCTGATGGCGGTGAGGGGCGTGGAGGGGCTGGACCAAGGACATCGAGGAGTGTGAGAGCACGACAGCGATGTGTGGGTGATCTGTTTTGAACGATACACTGCTCCTCATCCCACCCTACCCCAACCCTTGCCTGTCTAACCCTCCCCAAGCTCATGACACAAAACCTTTGCTAGGGACTGTGTGCTTTGCCTTGTTGATGGGGATTAGTGACATGAAATACGCTTGGTTATTTGAGAGGACAATCGCTATAAAAATCGATACAAAAAATCGTTTCTGGCTTGGGCGAGGGGAGAACTCTTGTTAGGCTTGGACAACCCAAGGCTCCAATGCCCACTCCTCATATGTGAAAACGGTGCTTATAAAAGCCAATATCCCATTTCACGAACGGGGGGAACCCAAGTGGGGTTGTGTGTTTCTTCTATTCATTACGGTCAGCTGCACTGAGACTATGGAATGGCAGGACAGGTGTACCCATGCATGCGACGCAAGGCCTTTTTTTAGGGCTGTGTCGTTTACACAAAGGGAAATGCATGGGTGACGCGGACACAACACAAGCAACTCCATCGCTCGTACTTGCGTTGCAGCCCGCTCGCCTGTTGTAAGTTCAACCGCCTTCAAGCGCATATAACAACGATAAACGAGAGGGAGGCATATCTGTGCATGCGACGCAGTGGAAAGCATGTGTGACGCGGACACAACACAAGCAATTTCATCGCCCGTGCGTGCGTTGCAGCCCGCTCGCCTGCTGTAAGTCCGACCACCTTCATTCACACGTAACACCGATAAACAAGAGGGAGGTATACCTCTGCATGCGACACAAGGTTTTATGTTAGGACCGTGTTGTTTGCACGGACTGGAATGCATGCGTGACATGGTCACAGCACAAGCAATTTCGCCGCCTGCACGTGAATCGCAGCCCGCTCGCCTGCTGTAACCCCGACCACCTTCTCTCACACACAACAACGATAAACAAGAGGGCTCACTGATGGTGACTCCCTCCCATCCTTCAGGGGGAGTGTTTGCCCTGCAAACGGGTTAGAAGGCAACAACAAGGGGTGCTGGTGGGGGACTGGATGCCCTGCAAACGGGAAGGAAGGACATGAAACCGACCCCGGCCCAAAAACAGCCCACCGGGCAGGAGCCTTCCCCCAACGCCCAGGTGGCAAAAGGATCGCCTGCTCAGACAGATCAGGCGGCAGGAGGTGGAATGCATGTCAGGATGGGGACAAAGAAATCGGCAGGGGGGGCAGTAGTTGACGGGACGGTGACAAAGAAATCGGACCAGATGCCCCCCCTGACGACACAAGTACAGGACTCCCTACACGGGCCAACGGGCAAAGGTGAGGCATCACCATCATCATCATCATAACAATCACAATCACAATGCCGGCCTGACACAGGGACTGAAAAACACCTCGTCGCAGAGGGCTGCACATGGAAGGACAAGCTTGTCAACCACGGTTCCCCCCGGCAGGCGGTCATATCTGGCCCCGATAAATCTAAAAAGCTGCCCCCTCAGTTGATCAGAGCACGGTCGGCCCCAGTGAGAACAGATGCAGTCAGCTCCTCCTCCCTCGATGCTATGGCCCCGCTGAAGAGCCACCTCATACAACAATTACACGTTGAACCGGAGAGGAAATTTCAGGTGACAGATGGATTCATCTACCCCCACTCAATATTCCCAGCACAGGCAAAAGCAGCGAGAGATGCAATCTACTCTCACAAGGCAGTGCAATTTCGGTTCCAAATGGCACAGTCGGGATTGTCGGTCAATGACAAGCTCAAATGGATTGCAGACATTCTGGGAAAAATCAAACCGGACCGCCAGTTAGTGCATGATCACTTCCTAGTGGAAGTAGACAACCCAGACTGTATAACTGTGGTCGCCCTCTACTCGACAGATAAGCACTTGATTATGAGGAATAGAGGATTGCGTTTCAGGGGCTGCCCTATGCTGCTGTCGACGTGGTCCCCGACCAACCTACGATCGACAAATGAAAGGAGAGAGTACCTCATGAGCACCAACTTTTGGGTAGAATTCAGGTTTGCTCCATTGATTGTGCAGGGATCGATACTGACAGATTTGGAGAACATAGCCCCGGTTAAAGGTTATATCACGGTCCTGCCCCAGTTCTTGGAAAAAAGGGACGACACTCTCCTCGTCGCTGTGGATTGGGACCCAGCATACCCCTTTCCCCTCAATGAGGAATGACGTTATTCTCATGCAGGAAAGGAGCATTCCGTTCCCCTCAGCCATGCCCAGGATCCCTGGTGCTACGCTTGCAAGCACAAAGGATACCTCAATACCGACGAAGCATGCCTGAAAAATAAAGACAAGATCAAAATAAGAGGGTTGGTGGTCCCCCATCCCTCTGATGAGGAATGGTGGTACCCCGAAGAGAGGGAATTGGAAGGATGGATGTTTAGAGCGTATGCAGATGGCACCCCAGGGAAGTGGATATGGCAGGGCGCAGACAAGCCAAGGGCTTTTCCCTCGGGGGCCAGGACGCAGGTGGACAAGGACACCAAATTCAAAGGGAAACGGGAGCCTGCCCCAGAACTGCAGAAAGAGGACCACCGGCCCCTGCCTGCCCCTGCAAAATCGCGCCCCGTTCATCCCCACCCCCAACAACGATACAGGCCTAAACCGCAGGGTCACATGGAATCTGCCTTCGGAACCCGCGAAGGCACTGCCCAGGAAGTGCCTCCCCCAGTGGTAGGGGCACTCAACTCGGACTATAAACAGCCGCTTCCACAGGGTTTGACCCACGAACGATCATGCCACAGTCGGGATGGGACTGGGGTAGCCAAAACTAGCGGGGAGGGAGGGCTGATTCATAATCAGGGAGGACACAAACCGGCCTCACCCCCTGATGCCTCTAAGGACTTGGGTCCACACAAGGACGCAGTGCCCGACCACAATGACAGTCGGCAGGAAATGGGCCCCCCTTCACAGACCACTCTTAGCTCGTGCTGCAAAGACAGTAAGGCCTTGCTCCAGGGGGAAGCGCATACGGCCCCCCCGGAGGCGATCAACCCGGATCACCACGGAGGTCAAAACTCCCGGGATGAGGTAGTGACTGCTAAAGTGAAGAAAGGTGGAGGGTCGGCCGGGAAAGGGGGCGACAAGGAAAAGGCCCCCCTCCCCCAGGGAGCCCACGGAGCCTTCAACCAGGGAAAAGGAAAACGGGAACCATCTCCCTCCCCAATAACCTCCTCCCCGCGGACCGTGCTTAAGTCGGGCCAACTCGACTCATGGGGAGCCATCTTTGTCCCCCCTGCACAAGAGTAAATCGGATCAGACGGGAGGACTCGACGCCCGGACTGTGCAACGACCAACTGAGCCTCTGACACGAACTCCGGAGGGTCGGTAGAGGAGGGCTAGGCATTGATCCCCACGCAAGAAACGGCTGAGCACCAGGTACCGATGCCCTCCTCCGATCAGGGGGCACCCCGCTCAGACCATAATTGCCCAAAACCTCAAAGATCAGACCATGATTGCCTCAAAGCCCAGAGCCCGGGACACACAGCCTGCCCCCTCATGACTCCGCCCGACTCACACCACCCGGAACTGAACAGCGGAGACTTGAAAGCTGGCACGATCTCCAAAAGACCAGGGCAGGTGGGCCAGGCATTGGTCCTCGCGCAAAAAACGATTGACGGCCAGACAGTGGCCCTCACGCACGAAGCGACTGAACTGCAACATGACAAACGGAAAACGAATCCCCGGTCGCCACATCAAATGTGGCTTAAAGCTAGCTCGCTGCTCAATAAGATAAAAGACGCAGCTTTCCCCCTCCATCGGGGCACAGATACGGACATGGACACTGACAACAGGCCTCCACGGTGGTCGCCAACATCCGACGCCGACACTGCTTTATACAATCCAGGCCACGCTAATGGTGAGGTCACCCGCGTCCTGAACGCGGCTGGCCAATCTACAACAGAGATCTCGGGAACGCCGTCTCGCGTATTAGAAGTGGTCTGTCAGATCACAGGGGAGAAGAAGTTCATACCTGTCGCACAACTGACCGTTGCCACTCCTAAACCGGCCCCCCAACAATTGATCGTACCCGTGATAAAGCAACAACACACCCTGGAGTGTGCCCGACCGAAAGGGGCTACTCATCCAACCGCCCACCTGCAACAGCACCTATCGACGGACGGAGTGGATCAGCAACTGCAGCTCCCCCAGGGGTCTATCCAACCAGAGCCCCCTGATCTAATACACCTTCGACCGGAAGTGGGGGAGCTGCAGTGGGACAAGGAGCATTTGCACATGCCCCAGCAACAGATCCTGACCGCCCCCCTGGAACACCAATCACAAAACCATGCCCGACAGCAGTGCCACTCGTCCGGCCCCCACCCCGACTACAGTCACAGCCGTACACAGCAGGCTCTCGCAGACAAAAGCAAGGAGGATACACAGCAACTGGGTGCCACCTCCCAATAGTCGCAGCAACAGCAACGACAACAACTACCGTCGTCCCGGGAGCCTCTCGGGGACCACTGCATGACTGATGCACAACAGTTGGGCGATGGCGCTCACCAATCACGCCAACTGCCGCGACAACAGGGTGCCCAACAACTACAATTGGAAGTGCCCCTTCTTGACCAACAGCAGTTACACACGCTGCACTTTGAGCAGCAACATCAAGCATGGCAAAATGAGCAACAACAGCTGGCACGGCAGGAGCAAGCCCAACTGCAACAGCAGCAATGCTTGCACCAAGCGCAAATCCAAGTGCTGCACCAAACAGCACAACAGGCCCACCAGCTCCAGCAACAACAGGCCATGCGACAGAGAGAGTACGAAGAGCAGTACCACATTCTGTTGCAAACCCAACTCGCGCAGTACCATCAACAGCAGCACCAACAGCGGATGATACAACAACAACAGCTCCTCCAACACATGCACTTGCAGTGGCAACAACAGCTGTGTTGTCAACAACAACAAGTTCTACACCAGCAACAGGAACAGCTGCAGGCATTTTGGCAGCAGCAAGCCGTACTGCAAGAACACATGCCGCTGGCCCCGGAGCAGCAGCTGCAGAGCTGTACGATAGGTAGAAGTCTTCGCATTGAAGACGGCCATGCTCAAGATATGGACATCTCGGCCGCAGAGGGGGCTGAAGCCTATCATCAGCAGCTGCCGACAGACATGGACATCCAGGTGGCAGTACCAGCGCCGCCTGAACTATGCAGAGACAGCCCGCCCCCCCGCCCCCTCCGCTGGCCACCAATGACGAGGTTAAGTAGAAATTAAAATTCCTCACGGAGTGGACTTTGGTCAAGATCTTCTCGTTGGCGGAAGACAAACCTGCGGATAGGCTCAACAACAAACACTGGGGGGAGGCGAAAACTATACTTATGTACAGCCCCTGTGTCTTGGCGACTGTTGAAAAGTATGTTAACGTGTCGGCTATAGACTGGATGGATGTTGGGGCCGCAATAGTCCTCGTGGTTAATGAATTCCTGGACAAAATGGAGGAGTATGCGACCAGGATGTTTGGTGCCGCGGAAGTGGCCCCTGCCCACAACCCAGCAGACACGCAATCGGAGGCATTTTGCCACGAAGGTCTCGCCTGGCCTAAACTGCTCATCCACGAGCTGTGTGATACGTTGCACGTCCTCCCGCGCAGAGACCCGCCGGAAGAGGTGAATGAACAACGGTCCGCTGGAGAAGACCGCCAAATATGCTCCCCCCCTGCACCGCAGATTGATCTTCTCTCTCAACTGGGAAAATGTCTTGCCTTGTGTGCCTCTGGCCAAGCCCAGGATATACCACACCTCCCACCCGAAAGGATGGGTCATCGGGTGAGGCTGGAGGACGACGACCAGGTTCCGGCTATTATGCCACCAGGGGTTGTCATCTTTCCCCTGACCAGGGTGAAGAAAGCAGGGCAGTGGGTGTTGGGCCTTGGGCCGCCGCAACAACACCCTTCCTTGCCTCAACCTACCCCCCCGGGCAGACTGACGCTGGAAGGCTGGAGGGGCAACCCGTCCACAGCGGTCATCCTGAAAAGACTCAAGTATTGGGTTAGGGAGACAAGTACAGAAGGGGTGATGGGGGCGGTCTTGCCCACCTCTCTTACACTTCCGAAAGGCATCATCCCAGTGATTCTGCTCATTGATCCTAAAATCAGACTGCAGAAAAGGGCCAACCTCAACTGGTTTACACACAAACAACTGATGGACTTCAGCATCACACGATTCACAGCCGGCGGGGCCTGGACGCAATCCGAAGTCCTCACTTTTATGCAATTGTTCTTGGAGGATAATGTGCTGCAAGAACAAAACCAATGGGATGATCCACCCGCTGTCCTCCCCGTCAAACTGATTGGTTGAGGGAACTGAGTGTTGAATACACAACTGCAGCCTAGTACAGCTAAAGTACAACTAAATATTGTTGCATTATGAGGAACCGTGCAAACCAGATGACCGATGCTCACACAAGCCGAGGATCGTCGCAACCCCCGGCTAACATGGGACAGCCGCCAACCCGTAACCTCGTTCTCCCTGCCCCCCCCGATCACTGCACCGGCCCCGCCCGCACAACAACAACAGCCCCACCCACCCCCACGACCCCCGTCCCCTCCTGTCTTTCCCCGGATCAGAAACCCCCCTCACTGGGCGGTCAAGCTAGCCAGGGAAGACATAGACATTCGTTCGCTCAATGTTAACGGCCTCATCCAAGCAACAATAGATAAGAAGACAGCCATATGGGATATGATCAGATCCCTGGTCTCAAGGGGGTGGCCTGATGCGGTCTACATTCAGGAAACTCACCTTCAACACACACCCCAGCACGTGGCGAAGGCCAAATTCATATGGCCCTACATAAGCTACTCAGCGCCAGCAGTTGACAGAGCGTCGGCCGGAGTTGCAATATGGCTCCCGCCGTCCTCCAAACTTAAACCGCTGTCAATGCAATATGATCACCAGCAGGGACGGTGGGTGTGCCTCAAAGTGGCTTACGAGGAGGACGAGTTCTACATTGTTAACGTGTATGCACCCAATGACCCCGTCGACAGGGTGGACCTGTGGCTTGCCCTGCTCCAAAACGTTCCAAGCGATGCCCCGACTATTATGATAGGGGACTTCAACACAACCCTGGACCCGGAGATGGACCGTAGGTCCACCTCCCAGAGGGTGGATCCGGAACCCTCTTCGTTGCCCGACCTGGGCCCGGACATACTGATGCTGAAACAGCTGATGGCAGACACGGAACTAGAAGATGCATACAAAATACTGCACCCGACACAAAAAGCCTTCACCTGTTTATCCTCCAGAGGCACCCGGGGCTTGGCCAGCTCGCGAATTGATCTTGCGCTGGTGTCAAAGGAACTTATGGGATTGACTACGACTGCTGAAATTGCTGCAATCAGCCCGTGTAAATCCTTCGACCATAGAATGATAACCCTGGGCCTCTCCTTCTATACTCAAATCCAAAGAGGCCCGGGTTTCTATAAGCTCAACACGTCGCTGTTGCAGCTCACCAAATTCTAGGAAATGGTAGGGGAGTTTTGGCAATACTGGCACTCCATAAAACCGCAACCGGAGGCGGGCCGAACAGTGGCCTGGTTCAATGATGGGATCGCCCAACTGCGAGACAGGGTCAATAAAATTTTCCATACAGACGGCCAGAGACCGCAAGGCGATAATCGACCGCCTTATGCGGGAGCTTGAAGAATGGGACGAGGCCATCACAGAGGACCCCCAACACACCCCCTCCTTCGAAAAGTTGCAAGCAGCAAGAGACCACCTCCAGGCCTACCTGGAAAGACAATCGCAGGCATGGAGGATACAGGCTAGAATGAAAAAAGAACACACCAACGGGACAATGCCGAGGTCCTTCTTCAATAAAGCAAAAGCCCGCACGAGGGCCTCAGCTGTCCCGCGGCTCAGGCACCCCCTAGATGACAGTGCTCCGGCTGCTACGAACGCTTATGCAATCACCAACTACGCAGCCACATTCTACAAGGACCTGTTCACATCGGCTACACCCCAAAAAAACCTCGACGACGTCCGGGGGGCCAGGAATGAGCTGCTTCGCACTCTGCACGCGCGCTTGACGCAGGAACAAAAAGAGGATTTGGATAGGCCGCTGCTACAGGAAGAGGTGTGGGGGGCCTTGCAGGACATGGACGATGAGAAAACACCAGGGATTGACTCTTTCCCAAAAGAGTTCTGGATCTCATTCTGGGACCTCCTCAAAGATGACCTGATGGATTACATAAGAGTTGTTCAAGAGGAAGGCTTCTTTGGGGGTATGATTGGTCAAGGGGTTTCGAAGCTCCTCTACAAAAAGGGAGACAAGGAGGACATTAGAAATTATAGGCCTATCACGCTCCTCCCGGTCCCATACAAACTTGTGGCCAAAACTCTCACCACTCGTCTGCTGCCGCACATGAACCTACTAATCCACCCAGATCAAACGGGATTCATGCCAAATTGCAACATCCAGGACAACATCTTGCTGGTCAACGAGACTATCAAATATGCACGCCAGCGTAGAGTCCAAGCAGCCATACTGTTCATAGACTTTGAGAAAGCTTATGACCACGTCGATTGGGACTTCCTGGATATGTGCCTGGCAAAAATGAATTTCGGTTCCCGTTTCTGCCAATGGGTCCAAACCCTCCACAAATCGGCCACCACAAATATTATGCTTAATGGCCACCTCTCTGCACCGATCAGATTGCACAGATCGGTACGCCAAGGGGATCCCATCGCACCGTTGCTTTTTGTTATAGTCATGGAGGCTCTTGCAGCGCTGATCATAGTCCACCCGAAAATCAGTAAAATACCGATCCCAGAGATTCCGGATCGCCTCGTCCCGGTAACTTCGTTGTTTGCTGATGACCTCACGGTCCTCATATGTGCGGATCAGGACAGTCTGCAAGCCCTCCAAACTATACACCTCTTTTCACTGGCAGCGGACATGAAAGTGAATTGGGGCTCAAAGACAGAGGGCTGGTGGCTCCACCCCCAAGACGTGCCCCTGCCGCCAACCCCGTGCGTCGCATGGGCGAGGAAAGAAGATGCTATTAGGATATTGGGGATGAAGCTAACATCAATGGGACCCCCGACGGACCATGGAGACAACCTTGTGAACCTGGCCATCAACCGCCTTGCAAGATGGGAGGGGCTGCACACATCGCTGGTCGGGCGTGCGTTGGCAATCAACAATGTCGTCCTAGCAGCTATATGGTACAAACTAGCAGTGTGACCGCTGACACCGCAACAACACACCCGACTAAAGAAAGCGCTCGCAACATATCTATGGAAGAACAATGCAAAAGAGGACGGGTGCTTGAACAGGGTCGGATGGGATACTCTCACACAACCGAGATCTGTAGGAGGGATGGGGATACTTGACCCTCAGAGGGAGACTGGCGCTATGATGTTTAAAGTATTAACGAGACTCCTTGTAGGGAACGGTATTCCATGGGGACCTCTGGCCTGCGTACAGATAGTAGGACTGGCGCCGGACACAATGCCCCCCAGTCACATACATCCGTTCCGATGGCTGACCAATAACCACTGGTCGATCCCAAACCCTCACCGACAGTCACAAGCCAATGGTGCATCACATGCCACCAGGCAGGACATTCACAATGACCCCCTCTGGACGACCATGATTAAGTTATGGAGGCAGCGAGGCCCCAAACAAAAGCGCACGCCTAACAGGTGGCACACTGTGTGGCGGCAACCACTATTCGGAAACCCTTTTATCCTGAATGAAGAGGGCCCCCCTTTGTACTCACAACCAACTCGCCATGGTTGGTCTGGGCAAAAAAAGGGATCTATACAGTGGGTGACCTCTGGGATCAGGTCGAACAGAAATGGCTCTCGCCGGACAACGTGCGTGCGAAGCTGAAATATGTAAGGAATATCGAAGACCAGGCTCGCCAACTCATCGATGCACTTCCACTGGCCTGACAGCAGACTCTCAAAACAGGCCCGACGATTCGCCCGCACGATTGGGTGGTCAGGCATGTTGATCTGCCACAGCCGGATAAAGTGTACAGAGTTAGCAACAGAAACGAGGGGAACTGCACACTGGAAGCCTTTGCCCTACACGCCCCGGGTAAGCGGCTCTCCCAACTCAACCGGGATGAGGACTCTAACATTACAGATTTGTGGGTTGGATTGACTAATATCAGAGTGGTGGGGGACCAGGTCAAAGGATTCCAGCCGTATGAGCCGGCCACACCCGTGGTTTTGCTCCCATTTGACCCGGATGAATGGGAATGGACGGGCCAACAAATCCTGCATATTTGGGATTATACGGTCAAAGGAGGGTATAAGGCAGCCCGGCCTCCACAACAGATTGGGAAAACGCTCTTGCACAGATGGGAACGGGACTCACCACTTGACCCACAGCTGTTGCGCACCCTCCCTTGGACCAAATATGCTAAGCTCATGCCCGCGAGCCTCAGGTCCCTGCAATGGCAAATCTTACATCGTTATCTCCCCACCCCCGATTGGATTGTTTCTAGAACAAACCTCGAGCAAAAAGGACTGTCGTCCCCCATCTGCACGTACTGCTGTCGGGCCACACAGCCTGCCAGGGCAACACTCGAGCACTGCCTCCTGGCCTGCCCAATAGCGGCTCAGATATGGAGGTGGTGGGATGCAGCATTCCTCTCGTTGACGGACCACCGCATACCT